AACAGAGAAGGGCACAGTCATTTCAAGGGGAAAAACAAAGGAGAACGCCAAGCCTTATCCTCCAAAACAGCTAGGCTTGAGTTCCCCGGTTCTCCAGAGATGACCAGACAGAGTGGTTCAATCGTGTGAATCAATTTTTTGAGTACCAAGGTACTGCTGAAGCCCAAAAGGTTCCGTGGCCTCCTACCACTTGGAAGGAGAGGCCAACCAGTGGTGGCGGTGGATCCGCAGGATGTTTTAAGAAGAAAGACGCACTCTTTTGTGGGAGAATTTTGAAGACAAACTATAGGCTCGCTTTAGGCCTTCAGAGTTCGAAGACTTTGATGAATCTCTTTCAAGAATCAGGTAGATCAACTCTTTGCGTGATTACCAGCGAGAGTTCAAACATCTGGGCAATCGGGGTACAGGGATGGACTCAAAAGGCTTTGGTTAGGACTTTTATGGGTGGCCTAAAGGCAAAAATTTCAGATGGCATTTGAATGTTTAAGCCCCAAACATTGAAAGATGCTATAAGCCTAGCGCAAATGAAGGATGACCAACTATCAAGATAGAGGAGGTTTGTACGTCCTCCACTACCTACAAGATCCCCTCTAGCTCTTCCTCTGACATTCCGAACAACAGCAGTTGCATTTGCAGCTCCTGTTCGAAAACTGAGCTAGGATGAAATGCAACAGAGGTGAGCTCAAGGCCTATGTTTCTACTATAATGAGTGTTTTACCATAGGCCACCGATGCCAAGGGCCATAGTTACTCCTACTGGAAGGACACGCTGGCGACAACAAAATTATCTATGAAGATGTTACTGAAGAGCAACCCACCGAGGAGGACCATGACGAGATACCCAAACTAGAAATTACTCTGCTGCATGTGTTAACAGGATGGATAGCGCCCAAGGCCATGAGCGTAGTTGCCAAGATCGATTCCCATGATGTCGTAGTGTTGATCGAAAGTGGGTCAACTCACAATTTTATTAGTGAGCATGTAGCCAACATGTTGCGGTTACCAGCAGTGCCAACCAAGGCTTTCACTGTTCGCGTAGCTAATAGGGAGAAACTAAGGTGCCAGGGGTGGTTTGAGGAGGTACAGGTGGACTTACAAGGCATTGCCTTCTTCCTAACTCTTTATTCTCTTCCGCTCACAAGATTGGACCTAGTTTTGGGAATCCAATGGCTCGAGATGCTAGGCTCCGTGGTTTGCAACAAGAAACAGTTAACCATGGAATTTTTTTTGGGAGAACCAGGCTCGACGATTGCAAGGGGTCGATGGCCAAACTATCCAAGTTACGTCACTCAAGGAGCTGACCAAAGATGCTCGCCAAGGCTATATGATATTTGCAGTATGCCTATAGGCCACCGAGACGGAGACACAGAAAAACATACATCCTAGCATGCAGAAGTTATTGCAAGAGTTCTCTGTCATTTTCAAGGAGCCTTCGAGCCTATCACCTACCAGGGAGGTTAATCTCTGCATTTCCCTTAGGGAGGGAACTGAGCCAATTAATGTCCTACCGTACCGATATGCATACTATCAGAAGGTGGAGATTGAAAAGCAGGTCCAAGATATGCTAAACTCCGGGCTCATTCAACCCAACACTAGCCTATTCTCATCATCGATACTATTAGTGAAGAAAAAGGAAAAGAATTTGCATTTTTGCACGGACTATCGTGCACTCAATGCTACCACCATCAAGGATTGCTTCCCGATCCCCATGGTTGATGACATGCTCGACGAGCTCTACGGTGCTTATTACTTTACCAAGTTGGATTTGAGAGTCGGGTACAATCAGGTGAGGGAAAATCCTCCTGATATCCCTAAAATTGCATTCCACATGCACGACAGACATTATGAATACTTGGTTAGCTATTTGGCCTCTGTAATGCACCGTCTAATTTCAAGTCATCATGAACACCATATTCTGCCCTCATCTTAGAAAATTTATATTAGTTTTCTTTGATGACATATTAGTTTATAGTCCCACTTGGGACGAGCATTTGGCGCATGTTAGGTAGACTTTGGAGATATTACGGTAACACCAATTCTTTGTCAAGACTAGCAAATGTGCCTTTGAACAACAAGAATTGGTGTATTTGGGAAACATTGTTACTAATAAAGGAGTAAAGGTGGACGATAGCAAAATTGTAGTCATGGTGGCATGGCCACAACCTACTAACATTTCTGAACTACATGGATTTTTAATATTAATTGGTTATTACAGGAAGTTTGTCAAAAATTATGGCGTTATAGCTCAGCCTCTTACAAACCTTCTCAAGAAAGGCCAATTTGGATGGCATGATGAAGTTGAGACTGCCTTCCTAGCTCTCAAGCAAGCCATGACAACCACGCCCACCTTGGCAATGCCAAATTCAACGATTTTTTCACTATTGAAACAGATGCATATGGGGAAGGAATTTGTGCGGTGTTGTCTCAACAAGGCAAACAAGTAGCATTCATGAGTCAAGCCCTTGGAGTGGCCAAGAAATCTTGGTCTACATATGCCAAGGAGATGTTGGCTATCGTGGAGGCAATATGCTTATGGCAGCCCTATCTACTAGGTTGAAAATTTTATATCCAAACTGATCAACGTAGCCTCAAGTATTTTTTGGAGCAACGAGTGGCCACATCGGAGCAACAAAAATGGGTAACCAAGCTATTAGGCTATGACTACGAGATCACATACTAGTTGGGCCATGAAAACTCTGTAGCCGACACTCTCTCACGAAAGCAAGGTAGTCCCATTCTTCACCATATTTTTATTCCAAAGGTCAATTTAAGGGAAGAGATTAAGCAAGCTACAAAGAAGGACCCATATATCCAGTCAAGGGGTCGTGTGGTAGCGGACCAACCCAAAGGGCCATATGCGTGGCGTAATGGGCTACATATCTACAAAGGTAGGGTCAGCATACCTGCCAGCACATCATTACGGGCCAAGTTGCTATATGAAATGCATGACACGAAAGTGGGTGGCCACTCAGGAGTGCTACGCACACTTAAGAAATTGGGCCAGCAATTTTATTGGCCTGCGATGCATAAAGCAGTCCAAGAATATGTCAAAGGGTACGAGGTGTGCCAAAAGGAAAAGGCAGAAACTTTAACTCCAGCAGGGCTCCTACAACCATTGCCAAATCCATGTCAGGTATGGGACAACATAACCATGGACTTCGTTCAGGGATTACCGGCCTCATATAGCAAGTATACCATCTTGGTGGTCATAGACAGGTTGAGTAAGTCAGCTTACTTTGTTACTTTAACTCATCCCTTTACTGCTAAGACTGTGGCCGAAAAGTATGTGGAAGGGGTCATCAAACTCCACGGGATGCCCAAGTCCATCGTTAGCGACCGAGACCCGATCTTCATCAGCAAATTATGGCAAGAGTTTTTCAAGATGTTGGGCACCCAACTACAGCTCAACTCTGCATACCACCCGTAAACCGACGGACAGATAGGAGTCGTCAACCCCTGTGTAGAACAACATATTTGGTGCTTCACCCACCAGTGACTGAGCAAATGGCATTGCTAGTTGCCTTGGGATGAATACTGGTACAACACAACGTACCATATTTCCACAGGGATGACCCCCTTCTAGGCACTTTATGGTTGACTCCCACCCTCCATTCCATCATATCACGATGGCCTATCACCAGTACACGAAGTTGACAAGCACCTCTTGACCCGAGATGAACTACTTTAACAACTCAAAGCCAATCTGGAAAAATCAGTCAATTGGATGAAGCAATTGGCGGATCAAAAGCGGAGGGATATGTCATTCAACATTGACAACATGGTCCTTCTGAAGCTCCACCCATACCGTTAGCAAACAACCTTCAAACGAGTCCACCATAAATTGGCTAGCCGTTTCTATGAGCCCTACCAAATTCTGAAAAAAATTGGCCCCATTGCCTACAGGTTACAGTTACCGAAGGGGGCGCGCATCCACCCAGTTTTCCATGTGTGGTTGCTTAAGCGGTGTGAATATCAGGGAGGAAACGTTGAGGCATGGAATGCGGAATTGCCACCATTCACAGACGATGGGGTAATTGTTTTGGAACCTCAGGCTATTCTTGGCAATCGCTGGATTAAACAAGGAGCCCAACTTATTGAGGAAAGTTTGGTGCAATGGAAGCATCTACTGCTCGAGGAGGCAACATGGGAGCCGACAAAGATGCTACTGGAAAGGTTCCCAACCATGGACGTTGAGGATAAGGATCCACTTGATGGGGGAAGTATTTGATAAGCCGCGTAGATTGGAAAGGAGGCCAAAACCGAACCCCAAGTATCAGGGATGAAGATTGTAGGGATCACGCAGGGACTGAAGAACTGAAGGAGCTACAAACGACTAAATGCAAATGCAAATTGCCCAGTCAACTAGCTGCTAGGGCTAGTTTAGGAGTCTGTTTTTACATTCTGTTACTTTCCATTATTTGTTTAATTAGTCAAAAGCAGCTTCCCCAGTCAACTGGCTGTTAGAGCTAGGAGTCTGTTTTTACATTCTGTTGTTTTCCATTTGTTAAGCTTTAACCTATTTAAGAAACCAAAAACTGTCAATAAAGGGAGGCAAAAATTATTCCAACCATTGTGGTACATTCTCACCCGAAGAAAATTCGAATATTCATAAGCTATTGTGACTGAGCTTCGATCGGGACCTAACAGGCTGTAGAGTGAATGTCCAGGTTTCATAGCACATTTGATCACATACACAACAATGGTTTCTTGCCTTCACTGTTCGGCCAATCTTGTTCAAAAATCTCCAATATACACTATCATGTTATTCAAACTCTATATTACACGGATCAAATATATTTTGAACTTTTGGATAAAATTTCTTAGAAAAATTATCACCCAACAATCGTATCTCCTGAAAAAATAAAAAAAATCATATCTTGCACCTTCATTTTTTTCTGTATCATCTCTCTCTTTCTCTCTCTCTCATTTTAATTTTTTTTCCATTTTTAAAACTAGACAGAATATAACCTGCCACAGCCATTTCATGGTGATAAACGTGGAGACATGATATGTAGAAAAATTATATCCAATAAACTTCTAAAGAAAGCAAAAGAAACTCAAATATATTATGTTTCTTAGCAAAAAAAGAACATAAGGTACAAAAAAACATTATTCTTCACCCAGTCAGCCATATCATATGGTGTGTATTAGATCCTAGGTGCATTTGCCATTCCCAATAATGGCTTCTTATATCAAATGTAAATGAAAATGCACAGCAAATAGAGAAAACGAGACACAGAGTCTATACCAAACCCTTATCCTAATTACCTGAATGCAAATAAACATATATAAACAGACAGATGAATCTATGTTTTGGTGCATATCCGCTGTGAATTTGAATGTGCAAGTTCAACCAAGATCAGGGACAGTGAATTGCTCATCGTCTTCTTCGGGAATTTCAATTCTGGGCTTCTTGTGAGGCATGTAGGATTTGTTTGGTCTATATGATGTAACATTACTTGACTGTGATGCTGGAAGCTGAGGAACTTCCGCTGCTGCCAAGGCCTCTTGAGCAACTTGTTCACCAAAAAGACCGATGTCTGTCAACCACTCAAGCTCTCCGAACTCAAGCTGTTCCTTCTGCACAAATTGAGCAGAAGTCAACAAACTGGCATTTGTAGGAGCCAGACAAACAAATAATTAAGAAGAACAAGGCAATAACATTTGAATAACAATAGTTCAAATGTCATTCAAAGAAGAATTTTCTTAGGACTGCTCAAAATTGAGATGAAACTAACAAGATATATTATAGCAAAACTATTAAATTAGAATAGCAAAACTATTGTATGTACAAAAGCAAAAACTTTTAGACGGCTTGGAATGAAATGAGGCCTCAAAATTCAGAACACCAAGTTTGGAACAAACTATAGAAATCTATATATCTTTTCTTCTGACCCACTCATAGAGATTTGAAGAAATGAGTATGATCCCGCCAAGGATGAGGTGTAGTTTTGTGGCTGTAGACTTCAGAGGTTCTCGCTTCTTCTCTAGTCCTTTGTTCTTGTCATGCTAGAAGACAGTATGACGAGCATGCCAACATAAACTTGTGAATTTATGGCATAAAAACTTGATATGCCTATAGCTATCTTACTTTGTCAGAGGATTCAAAATCTGAAAGCTGTAGTAGGTCCTCAACAGCCCAAGACGGTGATGTGAAACCAGAACTGTTTAGAGTAGGCTTTTTCATAGCAACCTTTTGTGCAGTGTGATTGGGTGGCAGTGGCTCAAAGCAGCTCTTCTCTGTGTCCTTGGTGCAGTTTGAGCTCAGCGCTACTCGGATTCCAGTGGCTAGAAATCGCTGGTGGTTTGCAGCGTGGCTGCTGGCTGAATGGATTGGCTCATCACAATCCCGACAAAAGAGAGCTCTGTCTTCAACACAGAAAATGAATGCTGCCTTCTCCTACATGAGAAGAATTCAGGTAGGGAGAAAAATTATAACCAATAACACGACAAAAGCCTTCAAAATGATATAATGAGCAGATTCAATATTGATTGATCATTAAAAAGATGACCATATCGATTTGATTCTTCTTTTCTAGGAATGGGAAAACGATTTGCCAACGTCTCATGACATTGTTTTTCATGTCAAAATGATGTTCTTAAATTGCAAGTAGAAATCCTCTTAAGAGAGCATACATGGCACAATAGCATTGTTTGCTGTTCAAATTCAAAGAACAATAATCATCGACAACATTGAATAGTTCTTCAACCATTTTACATGCTAATCCTCCATTATGACATCGTATACTTCCTCTAAAGATTGAATTGCCTTGCTCTGATTGAAGGTGTTATTCTTAACTTTTCCCCAAATGTCTCTGAAATTTTCTACTTGGACTTTGTTGATATCACTTATGGCTGTGCCTAATTATGTGATTAGATTCCAAAATGTTAGAATTTTTGCAGCACCTAAAAGTAAGGGTCACTGAGAACTTGACAGCATACACCCTTCTATTAAATTTATCAGTACTCTCGAGATATGTTGATATTAAAATTCCTACATAAATAGATGAATCGGCATTTTCTAATACTTATTAGTAGCACAACATCTGATTCTCTTGTATTTATCTTATTTTTAGGTGCACCAGAGGAATGACTAATCAACCTCATTAAAATCCATCACCACTATTTTTTCCAGTCAAATTTTCACTTAAAAGTTTTCAAATCCATATACTTGGGGTTCTTCACTCCTATTCTTCTTATTTATTTGCTACCAAACAGGTCTATCCTATCTGATCTGAGATATTCTTAATATTTTCAAAAAAAATATGATCATCAATTTGACCAACCTTTCAAATTGCAAAGAAAAGATACGGTACCGCCACCATACCAAAAATTATAATTTTTTGAAAAGTAAGTTACAACTTGTGAAAGAAATGATTGATCGCATTGCAAGTTACAACTCTCAAGGATTAAGTTACAATTTTAAAAGTCAAATTACATCTCTTTTAAAGAGAGAAGTTACAACTACTGAAAATTATTTTTCAGTACCGGAGACTTTCCCAATTGCAAAAGGCTACAAAAGGTAATGAATATTAAATATGAAAGACAATAATTCTGAAACAGTAATTCAAGTAAAACAGAGAGAAAATAAGAAATTTTGTTTACTTGGCATATGTCACAAGGAGGGAGCCTGTTGGAGAGGCACTCAAGGAGTAGCCTCTGGTGCTTGCTTGCAAGCTTGTTAGCTGCATGAACTTCAACGTCACATTTTGTGCATAGTGCCGCCTCATCCGCACAACAAATCACCGTTGCTGGAGCTTTCTCACACACATCACACTGGATTTTCATCTTCCTATGATTGATCTTCACTTCTTGTTTTGTATGTGTATCTATCTGTATATATTTTCTTTTTCTCCAATTTTTTCAGTGATCTATATAGATCAAGACACACCCATATGGAAAATGGAACAGAGAGAGAGTTTCTTTTCAAGATTTAAGAGATACCCACATAAAAGAACATGATGTAAGAGGCAGAAATATTGCTGGAAAGCTCTGGAATGGTTAAACTTCAATAAAATTTCCCCAGAAAAAGAGAAAGGTTGCTACCTGTAAGCTTTTTGCAACAAAAATCTTCCTAATGCTTTGCTAGACAATCTGAGTTCAGATAAACAAATGCCTGAAAGAGTATTGCTTGGTTGTGGGGAAGGGAGAGAAGAAAGAGAAAATGGGAGTGTAGAGAGATAGAGAGAGAGAGAGAGGGGGGGGGGGGGGATCATATGAAGAATCTGGACATGTTGAGAAGGTGCAGCGACTGGTGGAGAATTTAAGAGGCTGAGGCAATGGAGATAAGGATTTGGACAGCATATCACTTGCTAGAAATTTGGTTGAAGCAGCACAGCTATCTGGGGTCACCCACATGTGGCTGTGGACAACCCAACAGTATAAGTGGCCAAAAATATTTGGCTTTATTTTAAGATCTGTGCATAGCTAAATCGGGGCATAGAATATTACAAGAAAAATAATTTTAGATATATATATTTTATAATTAAGTAATAATTAACAACTGTAAAATTTTATTATTATAAATTATTTTATAAGTGTGACAATTAACACCTTTAAATAATTTAAATCAAAACATATGACTAAATATAATTTTTTGTATGGTACTAGAAAAAATATTTTTTTGCCTTTTTTCCCCACAAATAATAAGCAAATTTAATTATTTATTGCAGAGGGGGAGGGGGACATGGTTCAATCTGGGTTATTGATGTCTCTCTTAAATGAAACAAGACTTCAAGCATTGAAATTGTACAGGAGTTATATTTATTTGTTTGTTCCGCTGCATTCTTATACAATATACCTGGTCCGGATCAACTTGAATGAGTTGGCTTGGATAATGACAATTCATGATTTATACATTTCAAGATCCCAAAAAAATATCTAGGGTAAATTATATGGACACCCTTTAACATTTAGTTTTATTGCACGGACACCCCTTCACATTTTTAAAATTAAACTGAGACCCCACAAAATAAAAACTATTAACGACATAAACAAAAAGACCATTTTACCCTCACATTAACTACTCATAAAGACCCAAGATCCAAGACCCCTCCCCTGAAAGTCAACCCCCTCCCCCCGCCCCCGCACACACATTCTTTCTCTCTCTCTCTCTCTCTCTCTCTTTCTTTTTCACTCTCTTAAGATGAATCGAAGCCCCAGCAACCGACAATCTCGCTCTCTCTTTCTCACGACGAATCAAAGCCATAGCAACCAACACCCAGTAGCACAACCACAACCGATCCATCAACACTATAGCCACCCATAAGATTTGATCTCCGATTGGCACACGAACGAAGCTTTACCTAGAGTTTGTGATCTTCATCTCTCTCTCTGTGATCGATGCCCTTGATGGTGGAACTGGTGGTGATGGGTGAATTTTGCAGGTGGTGATTGTAGGTGAATTTTGAAACCCTAACCTCTGCAATGTGGTGGTGTTGGTTGATAATGGATTTGGTCCAGGTGGTGGTTTTAGTGGAGGTGGACGTAGGGGTGGTTTCAATGGGTTTTGGTTTTAGTCTCCCCCCCACTCTCTCTGCTGGTGGTGGTGGGTTTGGCTGGGTTTGAAAGTTTTTGTGGGTTTAGGTGGTGAAATCGATGGTGATGGGTGGGTTTAGGTGGTGAAACCAGTGGTGATGGGTGAGTTTCGATGGTAGAACCGGTGGTGGACTGGTGGTGATGGGTGGTAGGAGTAAGAATTTATGTAAGTAGATAAATAATAAATAAAAATAAAATTAATTGGATAAATAATTATTAAAATTTTATACTATACTAATAATCTCAAATTTTATTTAATAAACAAAAAAATTTTAAAAATTAACTTATTAATGTAATAGATTAGAAAATTAAACATTTTAGTGTTAAATTTTAAATTTTAATTTATATATGAAATATATATATTAAAAAAATAAGTGAGAGGTTGGGTAAATTGGTAGGGTAAGAAAAACATTTATTTGAATTCTTAAACTTAATTGTGGAGGGTATTTTTGGTATTGTAGGAATCATTATCGATGACATCAGCTTTGACTCTGAATAATTCTAACGTATGGTAGTTAGAGGGGGTATAATTATTACAAGTAGGGGTGTAACTCGGGCGGGTTAAGAGGTCAACCAAACCTCAACCCTAGATATATAATTTTCAACGCTAACCCTAACTCTCACCCATACCTCAACCCGAGTACTACCTGAGTTTAATTCGAGCGAGCTCGGGTTGAATTCGAGTTACTTAATTCAGGCTAATTTTTTAATTAAAAATTAGGTTGGGCTCGGGTTACTTAATTCGGGTTGATAAAAAAAAGAAGAGTGACAAAGGAGAGAGAGAGGCTGAGAGTCTAAGACCGGATAAGAGATGAGTGAAAGAGGGATTTGAGAGTGATGGAGATGTAGGAGGTGAAAAGTTGAAGTGAATTGAAAGTCTGAACTCTAAAGAGTGAAGATAAATATTAATCCTAATTAAATATATTTATGTATGTTCAACCCAATTTTAACATTCGGGTTGAATCCGACAACCCGAGGCCTCAACTCGAGACTTGCCCAATTTCAATTCGGGTTGGGGTTTTATTGGCCAAGTCCAACCTAAGTATTAAAAATTCTAACTCAAGCCCTATTTTTTTGTAGCTGAATTCGGGTTAACCCATCCAAGTTGCACTCCTAGTAACAAGTATTAAATATCAAGGGAGTTCGGTGTTATTTTTAAAATGTGAGGGGTGTCCGTGTAATAAAATCAAATGTCAGGAGGTGTCAGTGTAATTTACGCAAATATCTATTACACTTTCGTTCATAATTTTGTTACTAATTTTAATTTTTTTTTTTATTTATTACACGCTGATAATTAAATACTAACCTTGACGCCATTGCTCAGTAGATTTTAATTTCTTATTAAACAAAAAAAATGAGTGCACCAAATATTTTTAATTTTATATGATATGATATTTGGCAAAATGATTAATTCAAATATTTCTTTGATTTTCTAACAATTTTTTTGGACACAATTTGTATATCGACAATAGTTGGACATATATGACGTTGACTTAATATTTATAATATAAAACATGACAGATTTCAATTAGTTCATTTGACGGTTTTAAATAGACTCATTTAACGGCCACTACCATCTCTCTCAAAATCATTTACATTGCACTGTATTTTCAAGCATGGGTTACCCCTAGTATGATTACAATATGCGCCCTCCTCTTTTTTTTATGATAACCCAAGTGTTCTAGTAGATCACAATAGTATGTTATCCTACTCACTCACCGGACTAGTGCTAGACCTTGTATAAAACTGCCTCTCTATACAACGGGGTATATCTATAGACGGTGGCCCTAAGGAGGTGAACACTTTGTGGGATATTCAAACCCTTACCCTATGTCTGTGAAGATACTTATCAAGTGGTTGAGCTACCATTAAGATAACCTATTGGAATTTACCCTTTTTTTTATCAATGGCACTAAATAAATCTTATCACTTTGTACAAGATTTTTCTGTCAATGATAAATCCGCTTTAGCGTATTTCAAAGTTTCGTGTTGACATGTAACACTCTCCTTCCTTGTTTTTTCATACACTTGCTGGAGAATGCCCTATAGGGTTGTTTGGTAAATGGGATTGTGTGTGTATATGGGGGGGGGGGTGCTTTGGAAGATGGGTTAGGAAAAAATAGTTCAAATGACTCACAAAACTCATGTTTGGCAAAAAATTTGAAGCCTGTGTTACCAAGCCTAGCCCGCTATTGGTCCGGACCTTAAACCCTAGATCATGGGTTTCATCAAACCCATGAAGGGGTGAGTTTTCAAATGAGGGTAAACATATTCAAGATATAAAAAGACAATTATACCCCATATGTATACAAATATGGGTTTGAATTAGATTGGTGAAGGGAAAAAATAGTCATTTATATATAAATATGTTATCATAATAGTGATATATCCGTAGACATACCAAACATGGGTGTAAACTGCATTTAATGTTGAATCTCATCTTTTTAAAGAGGGGTTTGAATTTGGAGTGGTTTGATTTTGGAAGGGTTTGGAGAAGTTAATCCAAACCCTTTCTAAAAATCCATCCAAACAAGCTCTATGGAGTAAAGGTTAACCTTAAAATTTTATTGTTTGGAACCGAGTGTGTCACGTGTGATGGTGACAAAGATTTTTTTAGGATGATGTTTCACATTGTTACTATTTAAAGAAATTTAGATTGTATATGAGATTTTTAATTTTTGGAGGGGTAAAGCAAAAATTTTAAGCTTATAATACACGATATAATCGTTAAAAATGATAGTAAACACTCATATTGTTGGTGAAATTGAAGGTTGAAAGTGTTGCCTTTTCCTTTCGAGTTAAGTTGCAGATTTCTGGATATGCAATGCTTATGGAATCTATTACCAATATACGACAAATTTAAAACTTAAATACCAATTTACAGCTGTTTTGAACATATTTACCAAACTACGGTTGTTTTAAAAGCGAAATTACGAAATCCAATTTCATTTAAAAGCGAAATTACTAAGTACGACTTCATATGAAAGCGGAATTACTAAGTACGACTGAAATAGGTAAAGCAAAATTATGAAATCCGTTTTTGTTGTGAAAGCGTATTTATCACACCCGCTTTTAAGAGGAAAATTGTGCTTATCCTTACAATGAAAGCGGATTTGTTAAACCCGTTTTCATTATAAGGCGTATTTAATAAAAACGCTTTCATTAGAAAGCGAACTTCTTGAAAACGCTTTCTAATTAAAGCGTAACACATCCGCTTTCAGTGGTATGTTCTATAATATACCCTTCCTAGTCCAAAACGTTTACATTTAAAAATTAATAACTACCCCCCGCTATCACACTTTTTGAACGTATTGAAAAATTATTTTTACCATATTGGACAATGAAATTACGGTATTTGTGGGACTATTTGTACGTAGTCCCACAAATGAAAATTTCATTCCCACCCCTATTAAATAACAAATAATAAAACTATTAAGTTCACCATTTTTAATTTTCAAAAATACTACCCATCGTACCCCTCCCCATCCCACAAAAACAAAACCTTAAATCCTAAACATTTAAAAACCCTACCCGCTGAAACCCTGCCCAATCATGCCCCCCCCCCCAATCCCAACCAACAAACCCTAAACTAGGGGGAAAGAGTCTTATTTCTTTTGCGATAAAAATATTACAAAAAAAATTCAAAAATGAAGAGATGCTATGTCTTTTGTTGAAATAGAACTATAAGATTTTATTTTAAACGACATAATATAGACATGTTAGT